AGAATGTTCTATGGGAAGATTGGGCTATTTTAGTGCTTTAGAATTAGCTTCTGCTAAATTTTCAGTGCGTTGGTGCTTCAGAATTAGGGGACCTAAATATTTGAGTTAGTGCTTTAGGGGAACTGTGCCCACCACTGCTAGCCCATTATCATAAACTGTTTCAAACAGTATTTCCATTCTTAATTTTCAGTATGAGACACTTTTGATCTCAACTCAAGTGTATAAAACACACTTGTTCACATAATCTATTTTGGCAAGAACAATAAGTTTTGAAATGAGTCTGAGGAAAAAAAAATACATCTGCACAAGGTTAGAATGTTCGACAAAGTATTAGGGCCACACAACAAGATTTTTTTTTGTTATTACGAGATTAAAGTCGTAATTTTATGATATCAAAGTCATAATTTTACAAGAATAAAGTTGTAATATTATGAGAAAAAAACTCATAATTTTACATGAAGCGTCCATTTTCCATTCCTCATTTCCTCATTCTTTCCCCCACACCTTCTGTGTACAACCATGTGTCTGTGTTTATGAAGTAGTCCGCTATAACTTGGGTCACTTAGATTTATATGCTTTCATCCAAATTAGCTACCGTACTTGACGACTAAATCTGTCAAAGGATCCAAGTCCTGCTACTGATAATTTAATGTTAATGTGCTAAAAGGTTAACTATTTACTTTAAGCAATACTAAAGAACTTGACAAGTTGCTCAACATTCCTCATTTTAATGCAGTGGTAACTGCATGCTTTTTGTGTAAAGCATATATTATGCCATTTTTTTCCGTAATATTATGACTTCAAGCTCGTAGTATTAAGATTTTATTCTCATAATATTAYGACTTTAATCTCATAATAATACAACTTTATTGTCATATGACTTTTTTATATGATTTTAATGTTGTAAAATTATGACTTAATAAATAAAACTTCATACACATTTCTACCACAACTACACAATGTGTTGTATATTATTTTCATCACCCCAGCCCAAAAGTCAAGGTCACAAATCAAGGTCAAATGTTATACAGGGCCATCGCCATAAATTGCTATAGAATAGTTTGTCATCAGGCGTATAATGTACCATACACGGTACTCTTGTTTAAAGTTTGTCTCAGCATTTTTTTCTACAGCAGGGTTAGTCAATTCTGGTCCTCGAGGTCCGCAGCCCTGCACGTTTTACTTGTTTCTCTGCTCCAACACACCTGGTTTGAATGGATGGATGATTTTCAGGCTTCTGCAGAACTTGGAATAGGTAATTCACTGACTGAATCAGGTGTGTTAGAGAAGGGTAAAACATGCAGGGCTGCGGACCTCGAGGACCAGGATTGATTATCCCTGTTCTACAGCATAAAACTGTACCCTCTTTCACTTTGTTTTATAAAAAGTATAGTAAAAAATTGGAGTGATGACATTTTATAAAACATCTGGTTAGAGTTTGGTAGGTTTGGGTAACTTTAAACATTTCCATTAGGTTACTCTTAAGTGATCAAAAGGATGATGAAGAAAAACAAAAGCCATATTAGCAAAAGCACAAAGGCACTCCTTTAAAGGCAACAATTTCACATAACATTAGCCCAGTCATGGTGACACTTAGCTATGCTTGCAGTAGCTGTAAACTTAATAAACTTAGAAGGGGATGTAACCACTAGATTGACATTTTTTGTTTAAAAGAAAGCTCATAACCAAGTAAATTTAATAATGTCTATACTTACTTTGCTGAGATGGTAAACTGGAATTGTTCATCATCCAACAAAATGTAACGTTGGCCCATCTCAATGTTGACTTCAAAACTTGGTAAAACTAGGATGTACAACAGCATCAAAAGGTTTTAGAATAGAATAGAATAGAATAGAATAGAATAGAATAGAATAGAATAGAATAGAATAGAATAGAATAGAATAGAATAGAATAGAAACCACCTTTTTTGTCGTGCGGTGGGGAGATTAAGGTGTAGCAGCAGCAGATACATACATCAATCCACAAAACAGGATATTCCTATGTGACATTATCAACTGTAGCAACAGTAATAGAATTAAAGAAATAATAATAAAAATTAAAAATTGAATAAAATAAAAATTTCTGTACAAGACTATAAAGTTGAAATAAGAAAAAAAATGAATAAAAGCAAGATGCCGTGCAGAAAAAGAAAAAATTWAAAGAAAACCAGTCACGACAGTCTTAAAATGTTATTTAGAAAAAAAAATTAACATCTGTTAATTTTAAGAAATGTTAATTACGTAAATTATGTCGACTTACCAAATTTTTGGACTTTGAACTCACGGACATCAGCATTTTCTTCATCGTCTTCATAGTGCGCAGAAATCTTCCACGTGCCAATTCTGTATAAAGAAAACATGCTGCTTTTGTTGCTTGTGATGCTATGATAGTCAGAATTCATAGGACATACTCTAACGTACTTTGACACGCTTGGTATATAAAAATGTCCTCTGACAATTCCCTTCACTGGAGCTTTCAAATCCTGAAGTATTCTATTGCCATCAGCATTCTGTCGTAATACAAAGAGAAATTACAGACACAAAAACACAAAAAGATTTGTAAACAAATTAAATCTAAAGGAAGCAACAAAAACTTAGGTACTCACAATCACTGATATGTGGACAGTTTCTTGATGTGGCCTAAACATGTGGTTAAGAGCGAACACCCTATAATTTACTGGGGGGGAAAAAAGCTCAACATAAAATGCAATTACTAGTAGTTTTTCTACAGAATGTTCACCTTCAYAAAAATCCATTTTTATTTATATTTATTTACCTAGTTGTGTTGGGTTGTACATTGGCTGATCAGTCTGTATGAAGATATATCCTCTGTGTTTTGAAACCAGAACCTTCGTTATTTTCCTTTCCCTGTAATTAGCTATCTCTGCCACAAGATTGAGATAGGGTGTTTTATGATGGTTTGTTCTTGTGATGGTTAACCAACTCTCCCGTTTTATCTGTTAAGGTATAAATATGAAGTTTAAGCAAATGACATCTTATTCCTGTGTAGCTTGCTGCCATACATACGGATGTTTTCATACCATGAGCTCAACAGTTTCAAATTTATTTTCTTGAGTACACTTAGCCTGCTTTTTTTCAGACATAGTTTTCCGAGTGTTTCCATCCTCCAGGTAGAGAGTAACAGGCTGATTGAGATTTTTACCTCCCATCTGGACGAGCACCTTCTCTTTCACACCCAGGTGAAACACATTGGGGGCTGAGATGAAGAATCTCAGGAAAAAAAAGGGATATTTCATTTTTGCACTGTTTTTACAACTAACCCTTTTTTTGTTCATTTTTATGAATCTCACTAAACATTCACACCACAGTTTTACAATTACAAAGCAACAAAATGACATACAGKTAGTACATAATATTAAGAGACAGTTATATAATTTGCTATCATCTCATAAAAGTTAGTAGAACTCTTACTTAAGTTTGCAAAAATCACAAATTGTCATCGCATTACATTATATAATGTTCACATTAATTTCTTCATTTACCTGTCTGAGCCCTCCACAGTCCAGATCAGGAGAAGCACTGAGAGAATGCAGAGCTTCATTTTGCAGCTTCTGTTGCAGCCACTGCTCTGACACGAGCTTTGGAACAGCTGTTTTATACGTCCTCAACCCCTTTATTTCTCAATTACTTGAGCAAGCAAAGCCTTTTCTGTTTTCTGCAACAAAAGAACTTACAAACATTTTGGAAATATCTCTCCCTCAAGAGATTTGTCATGTTGCACATGCTAACTAGTACTAAATATTAGAGGAAAAAAAACTCTTTGTGTAAGAGGATGTGTGGTAAAAAAAAAAAGTGCAGATAAGAATGTTGCTTTCAGATATTTTAAGTTTCTATGTTTATCCATATTTTAAAAAGAGCTGCCATGCAGATTTTATCAAATAAAAATGTCAGATTAAAATTTGAAGGTTTTAGGTTAAGACTGAATATCACTGTTTGGCTCTGGGCATGGAACGTGTTTACTTCAGTTTCACAATCTGTAACCCTCTGCTGGTCGGTCACTGCAGTTAGACAGATTTCCTTGAAATCATGTGATTAACAAGAAAACAAATGTTTTTTTTTATTTGAGTTGGGAAGAAGCCTGTTTAARTTGAAACTTGAGAGGAAAAAAACAAGAAAATAAGTACAGAGCACAGCACATATTTTAAATCCTAAATTATAAACATGCACATTAATATATACAGTGGGTAAAATAAGTATTGAACACATCAACATTTTTCTCAGTGAATATATTACTCGAGGTGCTAATGACATGAAATTTTCACCAGATGTCAGTAACAACCCAAGTGATCCATACATACAAAGAAATCAAACCATAAATGTCCAGAAATGAAGTTATTTTAGAGCTGGGTGATATGACCAAAATATCACGGTATTTTTTAACAATTATCACGATATCACGGTATTTTTCTTTTTATGCTTATCTGTGTTTGTTAACCACATTTTCTGCTGACTAAAAGA